CCAAACCGACTCGCTGAATGGTTCCGGGTAGCGATAAAAGTCGAGAGGGCTGCGGGCGAGTGACACGTCAAAACCACCAGAGGGAAAGGAGAGAGGCCGACCAGTCCAGGGGCCACTCAATAGACGAGAAACCCCAACATCACAGCCCTCCTACAGACCAACTGCCCCACGGAGCCCACTGAAATGCTACAGATGTGGGGGAAGCGGCCACATAGCAGCAAGATGTGGAACGCCTAGACCGGGACCCGATCCACCACCCAAAGCACGGCCGGAACGAGGGCCAAGCGCGTCACCCACGTACTGCAGGAAGCTCCCCAAATCCCTGAGTTTTTCGCTCATCTGACCGAAACCAGAGGAATCCCAGACGAGAGAGATCAGTTCCCCGAACCCTATGACACGGAAGACGAAGGCGAGGATGACCCGATGGTGAGTGGACCCGTCCACCCTTTTCTTTTCCCCATACGCCTAACAGCCCCCAAAACAGGGGCCCAAGAGACTTTCCAAGCCCTAATAGACTCGGGTAGCACACGGTGCCTAATCAACCTACCCACAGTTCTAAAATTGGGAATCCGAGCTAAACAGCTCAAACAACCAATTCGCTTCGAGCAAGTTGATGGGTCCCTAGTGGGAGGAACGTATGCCACACATTTGACTGAACCCGTGAGACTAGAACTCGCAGATCACTGGGAGACGATCCGCTTCATAATAGCCCCCAAGATGACAGAACCAGTCATATTGGGACTCTCATGGCTCGACAAATGGGGCCCAATCATTTGGTGGCAAGAGGGAACCCGCAGGCTGAGAATAGCAAAGGGGCCCCACCCCTGCCGCCGACCAGAAGAATTCCCTCCCACGCTGAAACCCCAAAGCAGCCCTCCACTACAGAAGAAAACACCACCAACACAAGGGCCCCTCCCAGAAGGTGCAGCAAAACAATTGGCAGCCGCACCCACCACCGCTTGTAACGCAAACCAGATCCCAAGGGAGTACCAAGACCTTGCAGGGGTATTCAGCGAGGCCGAGTGTGACATTCTGCCCCCCCACCGCGAGACCGATTGTGCCATCGAGATTATCCCAGGAGCGAAACTACCCAAACCTAAAATGTATGCAATGACGCCCCGAGAAATGCAGGAAATGCGGGACTACATAGACAAAAACTTACAAAGGGGATTTATTGAGCCAGTGAAACCAAGGGTAGCGGGCCGGTCATGTTTAAAGAGAAAAAGGACGGCTCCATGAGACTGGTGGTCGACTTTCGAAGTATCAATGCTGTTTGCGTACACAACTTGTACCCCCTCCCCCTCATGAAAGACATGTTAGCCCACCTAGCTAAAGGGAAGGTTTTCACCAAACTAGACCTTCGAGAAGCTTATTACCGAGTACGCATAAGGGCAGGAGATGAATGGAAAACAGCATTCAACTGCCCCCTGGGTAGTTTCCAGTTTAAAGTAATGCCTTTTGGATTGCAAGGAGCCCCGGCAGTGTTCATGCAGTTAATAAACGAAGTCTTACATGAACACCTTTACAAAGGGGTCCTCGTCTACCTGGACGATATTCTTATCTACACGGAGACCATAGACGAACATATACCCCTCGTCCGCCAAGTACTGGAAAAACTGCTACGGGCAAACCTATATGTCAAACTGCCAAAATGCGATTTCCACCAATCACGGCTAGACTACCTGGGCTACCGAGTATCAAATGAGGGGATAGAGATGGACCCAGCCAAGGTCCAATCAGTTCTACAATGGCAGCCCCCTCGCACCCGCAGAAACTGCAAAGTTTTCTAGGTTTTGCGAATTTCTACAGACAATTCATCCCCTCGTTTGTTGCGAAATTGCCAAACCTTTGACAGACCTCCTAAAGACAGGAAGCCCAGCGATGAAACTCGCCTGGGACAACCCCTATAGTGGGACCTGACCTGCCAACAGGCATTTGAGACGCTAAAAGGACTGTTCGCGAAAGAACCTGTCTTAAAACACCCGGATCCAGAACAGCCTTTTGTCATCCAAGCAGACGCAAGTGATGTGGCAGTAGGAGCCGTGTTACTCCAAAAGAACAACCAAGGGGATCTACAACCCTGCGCCTACACCTCCCGCAAACTCACTGATACGGAGAGGCGATGGGCGGCGTGGGAGAAGGAAGCGTTTGCAGTACGGTGGGCCTTGTTGACCTGGCGGCACCTTCTAGAGGGAGGCCAGAAACCATTTGAAGTCTGGACTGATCATAAAAACCTAGAGGCCCTAAAAACCCCGAAAAACTGTCGCCCAGGCAAGTGCGGTGGGCACAATACTTCAATCGTTTCAATTTCGAGCTTAAGCACATCCCAGGTGGGAGAAATTTCCTGGCTGATGCCCTCTCCCGGATGCCCCAATACAACAGTGAGCGGGAGCAGGTAGTGGGGTCTACTTTAAGGCCAACGCCACGTGAACCTCCTGGGCCCCTGGTTGTTGGGGGCCAAACGCACTACGAAGTGCAGCAGATTCTTGATTCAAGATGGCACAGGGGCGCCTTCAGTACTTAATTAAATGGAAGGGTTACCCATTGTCAGAGGCTTCCTGGGTGAAGAGCGCAAACATCCAAGCTGATCGCCTTATAGCAAAATTCCATGCAGACCACCCGGGAAAGCCGGGAGGGGGGGGTGCACAGCCAGGGAGGGGCTGATGAGACTAATCTTGTTGTGTTTTCCCTATGGGATAGGTGATGTGTTGCAGAAGTGAAGGGAGAGAGGCCGGATGTCAGCGTTCCAAATTAGGCTTTCTTCCAGCGCTGACATAACAAGTTGAAGCAGAAAGAGCGGAAGCTTGATTTATTGCTGAGATGAACTTTTACCTAGTTTTGTTTATACAGATAGGGTTTCCTGGGAGACGAGGGTGGGGGCTGCATTCCTGTGAAAAGAACGTGCCGGGATGTAGAGATGGATCTGTATGATGGCCAATGGGACGTGGGGGCTGGAGAGCGGAAGAGGAGGGGGTTGGAAGGAGGGGCCAGTTTGGCTGCAAATTTGAGTCAGAAATGTCGGATTCTGCTATGCTTAAAAATAAAATGTTTCATTAGACAGCTTGCGCTTGAGAATGAAGTTTATTCAAGATAGCACCGAAACATGACAACAGTTTCTTTAGGGTGGTGTCTTGGAGAGGAGGAATGTTTCACTATTAACATGCATAGAATGTCATGGCATTTAACATTTTTAGTCATTGATCAGATCTAATACATGGGAAGTAGAAGTACTGATAGTATTCCTCAATGTATTACTACAAAATTAAAAAAAAATACATAGGGATAAAATCTACTTTGTAGAGGAACATTGCCACCATAGAACTTGGTGCATACTGTACTTGAGTTTCTTGGTTTGAAAGCAATTTTGTTTACTTGCTGGGTCAAGATTCCATGAAGTGTCTTTAAACTAGGCATATGTGAAAAAGCTTAATAGTGTTAATAAAAGTTTAAAGGTTAACGGCTTCATCTTTAGTACAGTACTAAAGGTAAAAGTTTCCCCTGTCCAGTCATGTCTGACTCTAGGGAGCAGTGCTCATGCTGTTACCTTCCCACCAAAGTGGTACCTATTTATCTACTCACATTTGCATACTTTCAAACTGCTAGGTTGGCAGGAGCTGGGGCAAGAACAGGAACTCACCCTGTCACATGGTGGTTGGGTCTCAAACTGCCAACCTTTCAGTCAAGTAGCCCAGCATCTTAACCCCCAGCCACCACACCCTTTACCTTTAATATTACTGAGTTTCATTTCGTCTAATGCCTTTGTAGAAGAGGCACAGTTTTCTACAGCTGAATAACAATAATATGGAACAGAAAATATGACTTTCAATATTAAGTCATCCAGACTACTGTAATAAACATACGTACAAAGATATAATGCCCCGTGAACCCAATTAAATTCTGTGCAAATAAATATGTAGGCATTTGCACTGTATTCTCTGCAGTAACTGCTTTCTAGCTCAAGAGGTAAGCTTGCTCCAGTGAAGTATCACTATTTTCCTATTAATATAATTGCCCTCTCGTCCTGCTGCAAGCAGTAGAGAAAACATAATAAAGACATATAAGCCCAAAGACCTTCTTATTATTTTCTTTCTAGTGCAGAGCAACCTGTCTTTAAGCAGAACCCAGTATATTATATATCTTCACAGCCCAAACTCTCACATAAATGTATTTTTTCTTTCTTTCAAAGGCATAAAATTAGGGAGAGAAGATGTAGGATGCAGCTGCAAAGCACCAATATAATTTATCAGACAAAGCCTGTGAGGATGCAATAACAGGTCTGCTATCAAAGGGGGAAAAGAAAAAAAAACCTTCCGGCATTTTACATCCCTTAATCCCGATGACAGCCTGTTTCTGCAGATACCCTGCAGTTCATGAATCACTGGCTATAGCATGCAAAATCCCTATTTAGGTAATTATAATACAATACACAAATCTGCACTTTGGCTAATGTCACTGAGAAATGTTCCAAGCAATCTTTTCCTTGAAATAACACAGCAGCCTACCAGTTTTATGCGATCTCGACCGTGCCTCTGTCACAAGACAATGGGGAGGTAGGCGAATATAATTTTGTCAGGCATGTACTTCGGACTACTGGAGGCATTCCACATTCAAAGAAATGGAACTTGCTTAACACGATAGCCTGAGAAACCCACTGGTGGCAAAAGACAAGGGCATCTTCTAAAATGACATTTCCTAATCAGGGAAATAAATAAATAAAAAACACACAGACTGGATAAGGCTGAAAAATTTAGGATGATAGTCAAAAGGATTCACTTCTCCCTTTGAAAATACAGTTCAATAAAGTTCTGAGCCATTATATTGCACTATTAGCAGTTTAGTATTCTTTTGATTGGTTTCTTGTTGTGGGGAGTTAAAAGTTTATTTTAACGTTTCCTTGATTCATACAGGTTGGAATGTAATTGCATTTTTTTTTCTTGCTGGAGCCAAAGCACCACTATAAAACATCACTGTAAAGCTACTGTATTACTTCTCCTATACAGGTGTTGTGGCTCCGTTACCTGAGCCTGTGTCATCGGCAGGAGAGGACTCCGAGAGTGAAGGAGAGGAGTTGGCAAGCCCTCCCTCTCCAGGACCCTCCTCTTTGGCAATGCCTTCAGTGTCCGCCGAAGGGCAAGAGATAGGGCCGGGGCCAAGCACGTCCACGCAGCCACAGATGGACAGTGATGAGAGTAATGAGTCTTGGCTGGACTCACGCCAGCGTTGCAGAGATAAGCGCGCGCAACAGAAGAAAAGGCGTGCCCGAGATTAGGCTGAGTCACTGGACCACACCCCACACGGTATAAAAGGGAGCGTGATGGCCAGTCAAGCCTTGTGACGAACAAAGCTGAAAGTTTCCACGCCATTCTGCATTGCCGGACTTTTGCTATAGACTTTGCTGGATTATATTTGGACTTAAGTTACTCTGGAATTATTGAACATTTTACTTTGATGTACCAGAAGCGGAGAGAAGTTATCTCTTCCCTTCGTGAGTAATAAACTCTTGGCAGGCAGCCACTAGGTTGCTGCCAAGTTCCGTTATCATAAGGAAAAGGATTTTGTCGGCTGGTTTGGTTTTTAACTCTTGGACGTCTGTTGGTGTGTGTGCGTGTGTGACGGGGACAGAACAACAGGTCTGACAAATATAGAATATAGAATTTAGAATAATATGGTTGGAAGGTCTTCTAGTCCAACCTCCTGCTCAAGCAAGAGACTCTGTATCATTCCAGAAAAATGGCTGTCCAGTCTGTTCTTGAAAACCTCTAGTGATGGAGCACCCACAACATGGCAAGCTTGATTGCTTCTTCTCCTCCATTTTCTTTAACTGTCTTAGTGTTGGCCCTGGTATCCATCACCACTGCCAAATCAGCCGACATTTTGGGGCTTGGAAAAAACAAAAATCTAGATTGTACACAAAACCGAGAGAACGCCAATAGCAGTATTTACTCAGGAAGGCTTTGGTAAACATCAGTTTGTGATATCATTTCCTCTCTTTTCAAATAGGGTTCTCTCAGCAGTCTTTAGCACTTCTCTTATGCAAATTGCATCATAAACCGTATGGGCACTTCTGTATAATTTTTAGAAACACATGTTTGTTAACAGGCAAATACTGATTTTTAAAAAGTGGATTTTTGAATGGCAGAAGAGAAGACCAATACACTTGGCTAGTGCTGCCATCTGTATTGAACGATTTGTATTTTGGGAGACTGGGTACCACCCTTTAAAATAAAGGCCAGTTATTGACTCACATTTAAGGTGTAATAGTAAGTCAACAGTGATTTGAATAAATAACCACACCATACTATCTTATACCTACTGTCTATATCTGCCGTAAATATCCATTAGAGACCCCTGATGATAAATTTAAATTTGTAAAGATAATAATTGTGCACTAACAAAGCAGTACTAATGTCCTGGCCTGGAATAAGAAAGTTTCCTATACAGGTAGTCCTTGACTTACAACTATTCACTTTGTAACCATTCAAAGTTACAGCAGCCCTGAAAAAAGTGACCTATGACCATTTTTCACACGACTGCCCACGGTCACCTGATCAAAATTTGGATTCTTGGCAACTGATTCACATTTATGATGGTTGCACTGTCCTATGGCCATGTGATCCTCTTTTGTGACCTTCTGACAAGCAGTGTCAGTGGGGAAGCCAGGTTCACTTAACAACCAAGTTACTAGCTGCAGCCATACACTTAACAACTGTGGCAAGAAACAGGGCTGTCTTAATGCATGGGCCTTATGGGCACTTGCCCATGGGCCCCACGAGCATAGGGACCCCATACCAACACCGATTTTGTTGGAAGTGCCAATGTTTAATTTTATTGACCATTTACATTTTTATTCCTGTGAGTAGTTGTTGTAGGGGCCCCAGTACACTGCTTTGCCCGGGGCCCATAATGCTGTTAAGACAGCCCTGGCAAGAAAGATTGTAAAATTGGGCAAAACTCACTTAACAACTATGTCATTTAGCAACATAAAATTTGGGCTTAATTGTGGTTGTGAGTGAAGGACCACCTGTATACTTATATCCATGTCTTGCTATCACAACAACCTGTGAAAGGGCTCAGGCACAGGATGTGATGCTTGGGTTCAGTCCCAAATTATATATTCCACATTTCTGTCTTTCAATATTGCTCCCTTTGACCTAGGACTGTTGGAAAAAAAACCAGATTATATCATTTCATTCTAGGATAATATCCCTTTGGGATCTTTCTGAGGAAAAAATAAAGGTTTTCCAGTTTGTCCACCATCGCTGTACCACTTTTTCATTTAATTGCACAAGTTCTGTACAATTTTACCCTGCTAATCTGCTTTAATCATTTCTTTTGCTAACTCAGCTTTCTGCTTGCCCTAATGAGCTCTCCCTCGCACTCACATAATACAACTGAAATTAGCAATGGCTTTACTTGGCAGTCCCTCCGGGAATGCTTTGTCCTTCCCTAAAGAAGTAAAAGTCAGTTTAAATCACCTTGAGCAGAACTTGCTAGATTTTTATCTGCATATATCTCTGAAGTTTTCACCGTGGCAGTTTAAGTACTTGGGAGCTTTTGTCCAGCACTTTTACTGTTCTATCGCTGTGTATGAAAACATATTCAGATAAATATCTCGCTTCCAGCAGGCTACAAAGAATTCTGCATTATTCTGTTAAGGTCTGTGCTCTGAGCTGTTATCTTAATTGTCTTTATTCAAAGACCGGACCTTTAGTACGTTTACTCAGCATCATTTCCATAGGTCTTGAGATAACCTATTTACAGAGACCCTTTTTTTTTCTTGACTGTCTCCTTAGCCCCCTAAGTGAGTCAATGCTGGTTACAGGCATGTCTCCTTTAATTTGTACTCTTGCTTGCTTATTTGCCATCATTACGGACTTGGAGGGAAATGAGGAAAAAAGGGTTATCGCCATTTCTCTATATTTCTGCCATTGCTCACGCTCAGAGTGAGTTAGTAGGCAGTGGCTGTAAAACTGGACAACCGTGGGCCTTTGTAAGCCCCCAATAATGCTAGTCATTTAATGAATATCTGTGTTAGCCTTGTATTCCCAGGACCCTGACAATGAAAACATGAATATTCAGATTCTCCAAAAAAAAAATTCCAAATATGGCAAAAGCAGGAATCTCCAAAACAAAATCAATTTTCTACCAGTAACTGAGTTGTTTGCTAATTCTCAAATGTAAGCAGTTGGTGATCTACATTATATTTGTTTCTCTCTCTTTTCGAAGCTTGCAGAAATGAAATGCCTCATTGATGATACTTGAGTCAATAAGTAATTATATTGCTGATTTGAGGACTCCCTTTAGCTTCATCGGATTGTAGACCCAGCATCATACTTTCTTAATAACCAGGAAATACCCAAGTTTCTTTTGCTCATCTCAGCTCTTCTCATTGGGGATGATCAAAGCCATAAGAACAGATTTCCTCCACATGCAAATGTTAGTTTGAGATATGAGATTTTCAGGGGATGGCAGCAGGGAAGGGAAGGTTAAATTCCCTCAACATACCTTCTCTGACTCCATGATACAATTTTAAGCACCTGCTGTATCTTCATTACATGCAAAACAGTGCATTAAAACTAATCTCTGTATTAGTAGACAAACCACTCACCTTGGGGCACATTACTTTAAAGAAGGTCTCCATTTAAGGCAACCTCTGATGTGCAGAAATGGACATTCAACCTAATGCCCATCAGAACCCATAGCAGCAACTATTGCTTGGCATCTGCAATCTCCATCTTTAATTACACCACCCTATAGCACTGTAAGGATCTAAAAAAAAATCCTCTGTTTTTTTCTCTTTCTTTGTCGGAATTCTATGTGGCACAGAAATACGGTTGTATATCTCTTTGTGTCTATTATACAGACAACACACAGAAGTGCTTCAGGAAGCAAGTGTTTTCGCTTCACCATCCTCCCACAGATCCCCAAATGCCACCAGGAATTTGGCCATAACTACATAATGGCACAGGAGACTATTGTGATCAGTTAAGTGATTTCACAAAATGAGACTGAAAGGTAAATCAACGATGGGTTTAACGGGATTGTGGAGGAGAAGGACAAAAAAAGAGAAAGGTTTCACCCAGTTGTCATTAGCAAAGGAGGGGACACTCTTAGAGAGTCTGAGGAGGTCAATAAATCACCACCCTTATCTTGCAAACAGAGCCTGCGACTTCAAAAATTAGCTCATTTATTCTGCACAATTAAATTTATTGAAGTGTGACAGAAAAAGTTTAACACGCATTGAAGCAGAAAGCCAGCAACAACGGAGGCAAGCATCAGAGTGAAAGGCACAATTAGTTGATTTTCATTTTATTTATCAATATAATTATTGAATTGTATTTATCCTATTTCACAGATTTTTACTATTATTGCTTGCTGGACTCAGGGGAAAAGTGTTAGCTTGAAATTGGTTTGCCCCCTTTTTTTAGCCTCGCTTAATATGATTATAGGGTAACTAATAAATGAAAACTTCTCCTAAATACTTCACAATTTTGCATTCAATGAGAGCATATCATTTGGCAAGATATCAAGTCATTTTCCTGTAAAATAATAAACAGAATATGAAATGCGAATAAAATAAATTTCCTAAAAGGAATTCAACATGTGTCAGATCAGTGCCAACTGTGCTGTTTATGTAAGTGGTTTTTCTTTTAATCTTTAATATATTTCAGCCGTACTTTCATAATACATACTTGAAAGTCTCGAAATGGTTCAGAGTATAAAATTTGCCATCAGACAAATTTAAAATTTGTCTGATGGCAACCTTATAATATTTATTCAAAATATTTTAAGATTGCCATCAGACAAATTTAAAATAGAATATAACAAATTGTTATTGATGACCTCCTCTGGTTGACCTTATTAGAATATATTAAAGAGTCAGTTTTGGATTAGCGGTTAAGACACCGGGCTAGAAAGCATGAGACCATGAGTTCAAGTCCCACCTTAATCATGAAAGCCAGCTGGGTGACTTTGGGCCAATGTCTGTCTGTCTGTCTGTCTGTCTGTCCGTCCGTCCATCTATCTACAGATATACATACACATATTCCCTTCTCACTCTCATAGGTCGTTTGTCTTCCTCAATGTCAGATACTCTACCAGAGGCCTTGGAGTTTGAATGTTTTACTCACAATCTTAGTTGTTCCTAGCACTGCACTCTTTCTGGACAGAAAGCTCTGATGTTGTTCTTGGGATCTGTTGGAGCCATCATCACAGCTTAGGAGTCACAGTGCTGAGTGTTCCTATCATTACTTTGGCCTTCTGAAAGAAAGAGTAGGAAAAAGCTGTTTGGCACAACCAAGTATCTGTATCATGTACATGAACATCTGCACAGATAGACCCTCCCAAGTCCAGATGGGAGATTCCATACAGTAGAAGGAAGGGAATTTGCTGATTGATATTTTTCCCCCTTTGCTTGAAATATACAATCTCTGAAATCTCAAAGTCTCTTCCAATTTCACGTTTAATGAAATCCAATGAAAAATCTGCGAGATTCCCAAGAAATTGTATTACTCTCACGCATGATATTTTGGTTCTCTTCCTAATTGCTACAG